CAATAATATTGTAAGTTCGCTCCAATTTTTTTTTATCACGTATGCAAGTGTCACCGAGTCTTAAGTACTGCAGAGAAAAGTCAGTTTATCCAACGACAACAACTAAATCCTTTATTTGTTATATACTCCTTTTTATGCTTATGCCTTATAAGATTACATACTTATTTAATATAAAACTGTGAACTCCATAACAGCTGTTTGCGGAAGGGATAATTGTTTATATAATTTTGAAAGATTCAGTGCCGAATATACTAATGCTCTGTGTTTTCAATACATCCTATATGATCGTTTTATTAACTTTAATACTCGTATTAACCAGCAACATAATATTATAGTCAATTTAATTTAATACGTGAGGTATATTTAATACAATTTGTTGTATGGAATTTTTCTATATTATTATTTAGAGAACAACAAACATACCCTAGCACTTTTACATTTTATGTTATCTATTGTTTCATGTGAATTTAAGACACATTAACTAGTAAAATTAAATATTTTAAAACAATTTTCATTATTTTGGTTTATTGTGTATTTTGTCCACTTTTTGTCGTTTCCTTCGGAACGGCTGGCGCCCAAGGTTGTCTACTCACAAAGTATTATTTGTTGGAGTTTATTGCAACAAAGTATTTGTTTTTCTCAAATCAACGATCGAACTCACGCCGCTCTCGGCTGTATTGAGCTGTCGTGCATTGTCGAACCCTCTATAAACAGTTATGATTATCTTAAACTTAAATAAGGTTACAAAGTTCATTTATAAATAAAATAAAAACAAACTTTTAGTGACGTCATTTTATTCTTCTCAGCAAACCCTTTCATTTGATACTCATATCATGGGGTGCATAAAAAATAATTGGTCCGCCATCTTTGGGAGTCCGCCATATTGCACTTAGAATGACGTCACTTAGCTAACCATACATTGTCATCCAAACTAAAAGTGTATGCAAAATTTCAGCTCATTCGGTTGGGGATACCTGTTAAAATTCAGTTACAAGGTTTTGACCCATACTAACAAGGCAAGTTACAGAACAACTGATAATAATGATATTCTATATAAACCATCAATTTAACAGATCTATAATATTCGTAAAAAGAAATTTATTTAATTTAATTTATTAAATACTTAATCATTAGGTATATAAGTTTTTTAATTTTTCTAAAGAATATATTTTTTATAACAAAACAGTAGTTTGCAATAAATAAATTTATGATAATTCCGAAATACCGTTTGATACCTTTCTCGTGTCTTAGTCCCAATAAACATAAAACTTTAGAAGTGCAAAGAAACATGAAGACAACAGGCTTTACCGACGGCGCCCGGCGCCGGCGCCACTATAATAAAAAAGCAAAAAAATAATATCTAAATTATTTTATATCAAATTGAACCGGACACTGTAGCAGTTTAATTTTTTACTAAATTGTGTTTTTAGTATGACAAAAAACTTTTAAAACAGGAACTACTATTAATAAATAAAGAATACCAACCAACTAGCTACCTACAAATAGTATTTCCAAAAATTACCTGTTTATTTTTAATACGTAGAAAAACATCCGAAATTAAAATTGTTCAAAAATGATTTATGACAGATAATTTTGGTTCGTTTACATACTAAAATATTTAGTGGCTTCAAGCGAAGTTAATAAATTCACTGCTTACTTACTTTTATCTGGGCTTTAAACTACTATGAAGTCAAATTTGCATTTGCACTTTATCCTCGCGTATGAGAGAAACTCTACTGTGAGAAATATTTTAGTAGTTTTCACAATGCAACTGGATGCATTTCAAATAACATATATTTGAATTCTAAGAATTCTTTATTCACCTCTAGAGCTTCACTTGAGAAATGAAGTGAATAATAGAAAGCATCCATATAATAATCTCCTGAATCCTTACAATGTTCATCAATTACTTCTTTGAAATTCTCTTAATAGTTAAAATTAACGCAAGTGTTTCATAACCTAAAAACCAATTAAAAAGAGGTAGTGATAGTCTCAAAAGTTTTAGTACCTATGTGTTCACTGTAAGCAAATTTGGAATAACATCAAGAGTGGAAAAGATACATAGGATGTTTTAAAACTATAAGTAGCTAATTGTCACACTATGTAAATTCTAGGATATAATTACTGTCCTGGAATGTTCCTTGAGAAAAGTCCATTACAACTAATGTTCCAAAATAATCACATCAAAATGTGAAGTTCCTTCACTTTTGTAACATCATACTGCTATATTTTTTCCAAATTACCTTTATAACGTTAAATATAAGCCAAAGCGCTTTAATTAGCGCCTAATATTCACAGCGGCTTTGAATTCATTTTAATTATACTTCAATGAAAAACCAAGTGCTACACAGCTTGCAGATATAGCTACTTGTACTTGTTTGGATTAATAGTTAAAGTTGGTATTTGCTGGAAAGATAAGGAAATTATCTTTAGAAATAAATTGTATCTAAATATTCCTGTTAGGACTAACACAAACATGAAAGTAACTTGAACAATTTCTAACGTAGTAACAGTTCGCATTAATGAGTTCTATCGCGACAAAAGCTGCGGGAAGTATAAGTACTTACTACACTCGATTAAGGGATATATATTTTTTACATAAGCAATTTTTACATCAACCTCAATCACAAAGAATATTTCATAGAGAAAAGTAACAATTTTTGCTGTGGAGCAAATTTACAGTTTAGACCGATAGTTTAGGCAATAATGTACAGCAAAAAATATATAAATTTTAAATTGTTAATTTATGAAGAATGCATGTAGTTGTATATGATATAGAAAATGTATATACCTATTAAATTTTATATCGGAAAATATTTTTCTTTTATGTCAGTTATACAGGTTATACAGGCGATAAAGTAAGGCATAGAAATCCGTGCGATAGACAAGGATGGTTACATTGAAGACGTTTCATAATCTGAATAGTCACTCCCACTTTGTCGCTCTCATGTAAAGGCAGATGTGCCATGTGGATTTTCCCGCCCTGTATATTGCCGTATTGAATAAACTTGTATCGTTGTATTGCAACTTATATATAGGGTGTAACTTTGAATTGGAGTCATATTTATACGGGGGCTACCTTTGACCTTGTGACACGTATCAATAGTTTATTTTTCCAATTCCATAGATTAGTAATTTTCGTACTCCACCCCTGGACAATCTAGTGTGAAATAACCGCGCGCGTTAGTCTCAACGCATGCACAATTGAGAACTGGTCATTGTTGTCAAATCTAATAATTTATAGGAAAGATTATTAAAAAGCAGATTTTCACATCACCCGCCGCCGTGAGGTACTACTCTTTGTCGCGTTATTTTTGTAAAGTAGATGTTCGCCAGGAGCCCTATCATCCCGCATAAGCGAAAATTTAATTAGTTGATCAAGAAAAACTATGAAACAGTACTTAACAAATAATCTAAAAACTCACATTTTCTTATTCGATAATTGATTGTCGGAGAAACAATCCGATATCGTCTTCTTGTAGTGGAATCGTTTTCTTCGGATAAAAAGTAGTATCTAATCATATAGTCTTTTTCTTGATTCGTATGCATGGTTTTTCATATCACACAAAACCTTGAAAATTAAAACGCAAAAATATACTGGCCCGTCACTAAACACCGAAATAAATAATTTTTGATAAAGTTATACTTACACTACGCAGATACTTTACAAACCTCTCGTAAACCGATAAAATCGAAAACTGAAATAAAAATGTAACAGAACGAAATAGTGACGATGACTACTGCCATTTCGCCGAATTAATATGGCAGTTTGTTTTTAACGCATTCACCATACCGTCATATCATACCAGGTGTTTAGTAAATTGGCGGTCGCAGATTTTTAAAGCAGAAATATTGTAGATCAACAGAACAACGGAGGCTAACCTTCGTTGCCCTCCTTCTTAAGCGTTCCGAACAGAGTCAAACTTTGCTCAAATTCAAACTGTTTGCGGTTATATGCGCCCTTAGCTAAGGTAGCTACAAACTAGGTCAGTGTCAGAGATCATTGACACTGAGATTCATAAATTAAATACATAGTAACAAGTAATGATTAGTATTTTTATTTATGTTTTAATGTTAGTTTTTTAAAATATTAAAAATTATTATTTTAATACATTAATTAGTTTCAGTTACAATTAGTCACGCATCTACAACTTTTTTATGTTCGGCCCTTCATAAAAATTGACAAAAAAATATGGTGACTTTAAAATAACACGTCCTTGTCATAGAAAAGCAAACTGTTTTCACTGAATTATTTTTCATTAGTTTCGCTATCTAACAGTTGATTAAAAATTATTTACAATTAGTAACGTATCTACGTACCAATATTAGTTCATATTTAATAAATCATATAAAGATTTTCTTTTTTTTTCAGAAACAATAAAATGGTTTTTTAATGTTCGGCACTTCGACCACAGTGACTAAAATAATACGTCGCAAAGGTATACCAAAACAGTTTCAGTTCAGAAACATGTACTATTACCCCTTAAAACACTGACTCCCACTTAAAGTTACACCCTGTATATTTAAACTTCATAACATACGTAGGCACCTTCAAAATTTTTGTTTACAAAAAGGCAATAAATATTTCAGGGAATCCCAATATAAAAAAAGTATTTTGCTTCCGATATATGTACTAGGCATTTTCCAATTTCATATCAAGCGGTTTTTCCATAGACCATTCAAGACCAAAGAGCCTTAATGAAACAAGGGTTGAACACCTACAGATTTTTCGACAGACATGGTGTTGAAAATCACATTTATTCAAATATGTCTAAAGATGTCTGAATTAGACTAATTAAACTAGTGTCAATACTTTACCTAATTAAAGACAAAGATTGACTGATACAAATCTGTCAGCAATCGATGGAGATACTAGGAAGTACCTTTCATAAGAAACCTAGAGTTTCTGCTCCATTGAAAATTAGATGAAGACATTTAACTGTTTTTTTTTTTATTTTTAACACTTTGTCTTGTTATTTCAGTATATATTTATTTTTTAGGAGTCCAAACGAAGGATTAGATGATTCCTCCCATGGAGGTCGCCAAGAAAGAAGCAGGTTCAAAAATGTTGAATGGACAGCGTATGAGGGTGTGCATAAGAAATACTTAAATTTGGGTACGTATAATTACAGGAAATATTTAATAACAGGTAAAACTGCAAATGTCAAAAAAATTGAAGATCAGAAAATGGGCTTGGTTTTAATACTAACAGATTTTCTTACTTTGTGATCTTTCATAACCTTTGATACTCGTAAAAATGGCAGTCAAAAATTTTTTAATACATGGGAATTAAGTTTAAATCCAGTACCTAATACATGACACAATATAATAGAATGACATAAATACTAAAACGAAATTTTTAGAAATGGCTAGAAGATTTATGCTCATCATCAGAAGCTATATTTAGTAGTTGGCAAAACAAAAAGAAGCAACAAAAACAAATAACCTTAAACTCAACAAGTCACACGACAACAACGTTCAAATCTAAAATTTGACATCAGAAAAATTCATCTTAAATGTCCAGAAAATCGGGTGTTAACTGCGCTGTATTTAAAACAGTAAAGTACTATTTCGTACCAGATAACTATTTATATGAATGTAACAACTTTATCAAGATACAAGTATACAAACTTGCTTTATTTCATCTTAAAAAAAATTGAGGAAAGCCATATAAAAAATATTTCGTTGATAGATAACGTGAATACTTCAATAATTTTTATTTCAAAACTTTAACACTCTATCATAATAGTAAATCAGCTTTGAAATAGTTTTAAAAAATTTGCGAAAATAATTACCTAGTTTTTCTTTGTATTTGCTCAAACTTCTTTTATTGATATCCGCTATTAAAGTCCGGCTATATTTTATGTTACGTTCTATAGACTGTAGACGAGTCAAGTCTATGTAAAACAAACAGAAAAGAAAATTGTGTAATACGTAAACATTGTACATGTAGGTAACGGATTTTGGTTTAGGCATCAGCTAATAATAATAATGCTAGTGGAAATTTTCTGTTAGTTCCAGTTTATTAAGAAGCATTCAATATAAAGAGAACTTTGATTTAACTAACGTTAACTTGCGCTTGTGAGATGAGGCCGGTCGCAAAAGGAAAAATAATAGTTCATAGATTCGTTTTGACATTTTTTAATTACATATTTGCAATTTATATTTGGAAAACAGTATCACGAACAGATTCAACTTAGCGAATTGGATAATTGGAACTGATTGTGAGTAACTCCGTTGAGGATCATAAAATGATATATTCAAAGAGTTTCATTTGGAATAAACTATTAAACCTGATAGTTTTAATTATACTTTGGTGCATTTAGATTCACATAGATATTGTAAATTAAAGCAAAGTTACCTATTTATCAATAATTGTACCTTCCGTGGTTAGATGCCAAGAAGCTTGGTATTAATAATAACATAGCCGCACAAAAAAAAGTCCAAACCCAAGAGAGCCACATATCATTTCCGAAGGAATTCGATGTGCTGGAACACGATCCTGTAGTCAAAATTCATGACTTGATGATTAATTTCGGAGAAAAGTGAAATTTTTGGGTGAAAACGCCCAAATATGGGTCAAAACTAATGTTTTCCTAAATTTTGCCCAAATATATCATTATCGTAGTATTTTGAGGCGCTGAACACGATGCCATTAGTAAAATTTGCCTATGAAAATTAAATTAAAAAGTAGTTACTACTAATTTATTAATATCGTCTTTAATGTGTTCAACAAAGAAATGACATCTTAAAGAATCAGTATCGCTGTACAATAATTTTGCTTTATCGTTGTTAAATGTAATTGTAACAAAAATCATGCACAATTATTTTCGAAATATCGAATACACTAAATCCTACATATATAGGTTTATTAAATGTAATTTTTAATCGTTTCGTTTAATTAAAACTATATCTTTATCAAAAATTGTACAACTGTTAAAATTTAGCTTTAAAAAATAATGGTTTGCATCTACCTGACCATTTAGTGACTAACGTTACGTCTTTCTTTATATTTTCCATGGTTTCTCCATAAACAGCATTGTTCATCAATTCATAAAAATGTTTGCGTAATTTTCTTCATTCTGTATTTGTCAGTATTTATTTTCATCTAACTTTGCCCAAATTTTAAAATTCTATGAATTTTTTAATCCTAAAGCTATAGCTTGTTTTAAATTGAGGTATTGAATAATATATCTTTCTTCAGAGTGGACAATAATTTTGAAATTTTTTATGATTTGATTTTTTTATGTTGGAGGTAAAAGTGGTGAGTCATTATGTTTCTTATGTAGTTCTTAGTAATAATTTTTTTTTAATTTTCTGTTATGTATAAAAGCACTAATTTTGGATTTTGCGAAATATCACAGGTAAATTTTACCAATGGTATCATATTCAGCTCCTCAAAATAGTGGATTTTCTGAGAAGTATCGAGGTCATGGGTAAAATTTACTAATGACATCACGTTCAGTGCCTCAAAATACTACGAAAATGATGTATTTGGACAAAATTTAGGAAAAAATCAGTTTTGGCCCATATTAGGGCCAGTTTTCACCCAAACAGTGGATTTTTTGAGAAACATCGAGGTCATGAGTAAATTTTACCAGTGGCAGCATGTTCAGCGCCTCAAAATAGTGGATCTTTTGAAAAATATCAAGGTCATGGGCAACTTTTAGTAATGATACCGTGTTTAGCGCCTCAAAATGCTACGAAAATTGTATATTTGGACAAAATTTAGGAAAAAATCAGTTGGGTGCTTTCACCGAAAAATTTCACTTTTCTCCGAAAATTCATGAAGTCATGAATTTTTACTACATGATCGTGTACAGCGCATCAAGTTCTTTTGGAAATAGTATGCGACTCTCTTGGGTTTGGATTTTCTTTTTGTGTGGCTGTGTATTTGATATTGATGATCGCAGTGCATTACACTAAAACATTTTTTATCTACATTAAAAATATTTCTTTTATTAACCAATTTATTTGACAGATTTAAATTTCAGTCATTAGTTTTATAACTTCTCAATGCCTGATGGACTTCTGACCTTTTGCGATTTTAAATTTATTATGATATTCTGGCAGACATAGGACTTCTATCATCGTCCCTCTTACAAAAGAATGATGTCTGGAATATAAAAGTTTATTCAGCTGATTCATCGCATCTTTAACGTTAGTAATTCAGAAGGCTAATTTCCAATTTCCTTCGCAACCACAAAAGTTGTTCCTCTTGGCTACCAGTACGCATATAAATCAGACCCAATCTGCCGTGTTTTGTTTAATCTCAGCCCCAAGTCGGCGTGTTCGTCTACTAAATAACCTTTAGACCAATATAACTTGCTTCGCCGTCATTTTCACTTTCACGCCGGCCTGTTTAAACAAAACCTCTTAGGCTAGAATTTATTAGCGTCTGGAATTGTATGCTTTTTTATAATGTTCCCAAGATAATGTATCATAACTGCTTGTAACTTAATCCCTGCAATATGCTACATTTCAACAAAGAAATTATGATTTAAAATTAATTTTAAGCCTTTTGCGAAAATTTGTGTTTTTGCAGTTCCACGCCCTAAATAAGATGTTCCTCGTTTATAGTCTGCAATATGGTGTTTACAATTATTCCAAATTTTTCGCTTAGGTAAAAGTAAATATATTGCTCACAAAAAATAATCAAAATTGGATATTAAATATTCTTGCTATAAAAGTTTCAAATAGCTGCATAAGCTTGAAAAAGCAATATGAGAGTAGACAGAAGTCCATTTGCAGGACTTCGATCATTTTACAAACGATATAGTGGGAAACTACTCTACGGGCTACATCCTCCGTCCAGCATTGAATTACACCTGCAATATCTGGTAAACAGCTAGGATCATTCGTCAACAGAATCACTAGATATATTTTGGAACTTTTTAATCTGTCTACGGATATGATTTGAATGTGAATGAGATATAATACGAGGTCTGTTCAGAAAATAACTGAACTTTATTTTTTTTTATTTTATTATTAATTTTATACATTATTGGTCCTTGTCCCCTTCAAAGACTTACCCGCCCCCTTTTCACAGACTTTTCCCAGTGGTGTTTCCATTTCGCGAAGCAATTCTGGATAGCTTCATTTGAAATGTGACGAATTTGCTTTAATGTCACCAATAGTCTGAAAAGTAAGGAGGATGAGGAGGATGAGAATTCAAAGTGCACAGTTTCATTAAAGTCGAAAAAACAGTGTGGATCCAGTCCATTGTGATATTGAATTTTTGTCTCAATGTCGTAGCCATAAACCCAACTTTGGTCTCCCGTTATGATCCTTTAAATGAATGTTTCATCGTCATGAATTGTTCAAGGAGTTGCCGACAAACGACCACACGATTTTCTTTCTGTTGTCATCAATGAAGAAACAAATTTTGCTGCAACTCGATGCATGTTCAATTTTTCTATCAAAATTTCATGGTATCACCCAACTGACTGACCTCTTCTCTAATTTCTCTGACAGTCAATCGATGGTTCGTACGCACCAGATCTTTGACCTTCTGAACATGGGAGTCATCATTTGAAATCGACTACCTTTCTGGTTGAGGATTATCTTCAATTGACTGACGACCACTGTTAAATCGTGAAAACCATTCATAACATTAGTTACGACCCAGAGTATTATCTCCGCGTTTCCGTGAAAGTTTTCCCTAGTTTCAAGAAAATTTTTAAGTGACATCGTTGTTGTTCCAGAAAATTGCTCACTTAAAAAATCATCACCAACACTTAAACACGTTGCACTCAAATAACAATATCACGAAAACTAAATGAGATATCAACAATCCAAGAATATGTGGTTACGCAACCCAATGCTGCCAAATGAATATCAATAAATATAAGCGCGTAATTCAAAAAGTTCAGTTATTTTCTGAACAGACCTCGTCTATAATATGTTAAAGATCGTTGGCACTTGGATCTATATCTGGCGATTCTGCTGAATGACTTAGTTGTTTTTTAGATGTTCGAGGTGTAATTCAATGCTGCACAGACCATGTAGCCCGTAGTAGTTATTTTCCACAATATCATTACATAAAAAGCTTATTTCACCTAGTTTGACACTAGTCATACCACTACAGGTCACTTTGTTCCAGTAGGTAGATAGATT